CTCTCTCTCTCTCTCTCTCTCTCTCTCTCTCTCTCTCTCTCCATAGTCTTCAGAATTCTTGCTCTCTCCTCATTGATGCAAAGCAATAAGCAGTTTACTCCCCATGATCAGTAACTGCAAGCCTCTCCAGCTATCTAAAAATTAGCTATGGCACTGCTGTGCAAAGAACCAACTTCCTGATACCTTGCAGCTCCAAACCTCTGCAGAGGCTTTGGAAGCATAACTCATTTTATTTAATATAATCATACTCTTTGGAAAGGTTCCTGTCATTCAGGAAAAGAAGAAAACAGAAAAGCGGTATAAAATGATTTTTTAAAATCAGCTTAAAAATCTTCACATTCCCTTCTCCAGCCTTTTCTCTCCTCTGTCCTACGATGACTTTTAATCATAAAGTTGGGCTTTTGCTGAAATGCTCCTGAGATTTTCTTTTTAAACATTACATTGGTCATATAAAAATAAATCTAAATATCCATGGATAAATGAATACAATATAGATGCATACAGAGACCATTCCAGAACATAGAAATCGTGGTAGACTTTTCAAAGCTGTAGTCAAGGAAATGTTCATGATGCTGGAGACCAGAAAGGGCCGACGGGGCTGTTGACCTCTTCCAGATACTAGATTAGTGTGTGTGTGTGTGTGTGTGTGTGTGTGTGTGTGTGTCCCCGTAGTGGTCAGGCAGGTGGATCTCTGTGAGTTCAAGGCCAGCCTGGTCTACAGAGCGAGTTCCAGGCAGCTAGAGATATAGGGAGACCCTATCTAAAAAAGACCAAAAAATAAAAATAAAATAAAAAATAATAATCAAAATGCCCTATGATGGGGGAATAATTAAATAAGCATAAACATATATATGGAATACTATTCAGCTATAAAGGGACAATTTTTTCAATAAATACAATGACTTGGATGGACCTCATGAGCATTATGCTGGAGAAAAGCCAATCTCCTAAATTCACACATTAGCACATTCCTACATTTTCAAAATGCTACCACTGTAGAGATGGAGGACACATAGCTACAGTTGACCATCCATATCTGCAGATTCCACCATTTTATATTCCACAAATTGTGCACTGAAAACATATTTTTAAAAGTTGCATCCTGCCAGGAGTGGTGGCGTACGCCTTTAATCCCAGCACTCAGAAGGCAGAGGCAGGCGGATCTCTGTGAGTTCAAGGCCAGCCTGGTCTACATAGTGAGTTCCAGAACAGCTGGGTCTACAGGGAGACCCTGGCTCAAAAAGACCAAAAAAAAAAAAAAAAGTTACATCCAGACCGAATATGTGCAGACTATTTTTCTTACCATTACTCCTAAGCAATCTAGGGTAACAAACAACTAGTCATATAGCATTTACAATGTATTATATATAAAAGTAATAAATTCAAAGAATACACGGGGTTTGTAGATTATAAGCAAATATTGTGCTATTTTCTAATAAGAGACTTAAGCACTTTGGGTTTTGGAATTTGTCGGAGGGATTCCAGAACCAAGGTAAGAACCATTCCCTCTCCAGTAAGAGAGACAACTGTGGCTATTAGAGTTTTAAAGATGTGGGGAGGGCAGGTGTGATGATACAGGAGTGGTTACACGAATGATTTGTGTTCGATGCCAATGTCAACTTTCTGGTCCCTACATTGTGCTTTAAATACAACCTAATAGGCAACCACGGAAGAAGTTGCATGAAGGGGACCTGGGACCTTTCTGTGCTATCTTTGCAACTTGCCGTGAATCAATACGTACTCAAAAAGCAAAAGAAGATGACAACGGTGTAGAGTTTTAGCCCATCAGATTAAAAATCATTAAAATTAAGTTATGGCAAAGTTCTTGAGAAGAGGGACAGCTACTTTGAGGACCAGGGTCAGAATGAAGTACAGGCACAATCTTCTAAGCAATTCTAGGTGTTCCATTAACGAAACACCCATGTGGACAGGAGAGGAACACAAATGTGATTGTTGCAGGATTGCCTGTAAGAGTGAAAGAGTTCGGACTGCGTGAATTTCCACCCAAAGTCATAAATCACGGTCTACGCATATGCAGTTGCCATTTTTTAGAGGCGAACAAGAAGGAAGAGGTAGTTGCTGGGATCCAGGAACTTGAAGGGACTTGCTGGTCCTCCCACAGCTGCTGCTGTGCTCCTAAAGGCCCGAGTGTGGCTGCAGCTGGAGGCCAAGAGCAATGCAGGACTGAGGCTGAAGCAGGAACATCAATGGTGACAGGCAGGACACAGACAGGGACTAGAGCCAGAGGGTGGTCTGCCCTCACTGCTTCTCCTTCAGGCCCTGCCTAGCGCCTCCCACTAGCAGGAAGCCAATGGGAATGAAAGAGGTTTGCGGAAGCCAGTGCTGGAGAATAAACTCCAGCACCGAATGAATAAACTTGGAGCTAAGGTACTGAGGAAAAGACAGCCATATGGGTTTTCCGTATATGGCATATATATTTGCCTTATTTGTCATATATCATATAAATAATGTGATAAATAACTTTCAGTAAAATTATGAATGTTCCCGTTGCCTTTTGCCTTCCTGTCCAACTTTTCTCTCCCACTGAAAACATTTTATAGCATAACGCGTCATCCTTACAGGAATAACTACCTAATTCATATATATTGTTCTTTTCTCTTCACCCACGGTATTCTGGACCTCATTCCGAGGAGGAAAAAGTGTAACAGTACAATTCCCCTCACACCACTGCTGTGAAAGATGGTTACATGTGCACCACTCGGGAAGTTAGAGGTGCCCTGGCCCTCTGTTATGGTTTGAATATGAAATATCTCCCACAGGTTTGTGTACGGTGGGGTTGGCTGCCACCTGAGGCACTTTGGGTAAGTAATTGGATAGGTCTTTGACCTAGTCAATGAATGGATT